TCCTATGACCAATTTGTTGAATGCACATAGATTTGCAAATCCTTCTCCATTTTCGTTTCTTTCTCCCAGTCCATGTCGTCCCATAATATCTTCATATCCAGTGTTGTCTATTCCGACTTTGGCATTTAGATCTCCCATCAGAAAAGTTAGGTCCTTCCTTGGGCATTTCTCAATGATTGACTGTAGCTGCTCGTAGAACTGATCTTTAATGTCGTCGTTGCTATCATTGGTGGGTGCATAACATTGGATAATATTCATTAAGATCCCCTCCTTCTTTGTTTTGAATGATGCTTTGATGATTCTGGATCCGTGAGATTCCCATCCTACAAGAACAGGCGTAAGTAAGTATATTTCTGCAAGGGCAGGTACAGGTCATTTTTACAGGCATGATCTATAAATTACAACATTTATTGTTTCACAGTATGCATGTTTAATAAATATAGTCTTTAAAAATGAATATCAGTTCATTCCTTCAGATATGCTGAGTAATCTTCAAAATATTCTCCAAAGTGGCATCGCGTCCACTTTACACACTAGATCCAACCTCCACATTATTGTGTTAGTATTTTGGTCATGCTAAGTATTTATGCAACGCAAATTTTGAAGTTTATAGTTCATATAAAGTAGACTTGTGGAGCGCTTGGTGTGAGCTTTGACCTTGGGAAAACACGTACGTTTAGTTTGTTCCAGATGTCAGAATTTCCATAGCTGTGCCCTCAAAGCATGATTCTGAAAAAAACAGGAACTGAGGAGCAGCAAGGCACTTGGATATGAACGATAAACAATACTTAACATTTTGTAGTGTAATAGACAGAGGTATGATAAATTATTAGAGCAAATTCATACCTGCTCTTATAGCTAAAGTAAAATGTGATCAGAGACTCCAGATGAGAGAATGCAGTAGTAAAGAACAATGAGTTATGATATTCACTAAGATGAAGTGAGTTCAAATGAAGGAAGGAAAGTCAGGGTTGGAATAAGCAAGTGCACATAGAGATTAAAGTGTTAAGAAAACAAATAACTATGTCTTTTGTTGTTCGATTTTTTTCATCCGAAGTCTGCTACACAGTCTTAATGTAAAAGTCCGAGTTAGCATGCTATATGTTGTCTTAGTAGAGTAGCTAATCCAGCATAAAACTGGAAACATGAGTATGAATGGTGAGCGTAGGAGAACAACCTTAATATGACCGATTGAGTGATTTGTTCTCAAACATAAAGAGCCTGATACAAACACAATGTTTTACCCCACATACATGGGTGGATTGAAGTCATCGCCCTCACCATCAATGCTTGCTGGTAAGTAATTCCACCGTCCCTCTTTTGTGATGTTAGGCTCATTTGATTTTATTTTTGAGCATATATCATACCTCACACAATGCTCTGTGTTTCACATCCTATCGGAAAACATTACTTCTGTAAGTACCATTTTACAAGCTTATCAGGTAGTTACAAATAATGGACTGTAAGGTATCAATGCAATACTTTAATTGACTATAGTATAAAGTATAGGTTGCCAATCAGAGTATAGGCTATAAGAAGGTTATACTGTAGGATAGTTGTTTACCAAAGTGGGCGGAAGGGTATAGAAATATACTAGTTATAGATAAGGCAACGAGTGGTGAAATAATACTAATGGCAAGTCAACATAGTGTACTAGTGAGTAAAACGCTGATAAAGGATAGATGAGAAGGAACTCACATTAGCTTGGTGTTGGTGTTATTTTGTTTTCTCCTAACCGGTTGATTTGTAACAGGTTCCATAGATGCAGTTCTTTTGGCTTTTTGAGGTAGTAGTGAGGGTCTCTTAGCGACCAAAATCAGATAGGTCCAGTGGGCTACCTGTTTACTTCAAGTAAAAATTGGGGAGAAAGAAGTATTTAATACAACTACAAAGTAGGAAAATAAGGCAATTTGTTCTATAAATGTAGAGAGCCTATAATGTCTATGTGGGTCGCAGGTGCGTTCGTTCGTGCTAGATCTGTGCAAGTGAGGGCTTGATCAATAAGTCTTACAAAGGTATGTAATTCATCTACCATGCGTATTTCAAAGGGAAGACTTCCATATTAATGCATACTTAATGAGGAAGAAGTTTCATCGAGGTTTGATCTGTATTTCTCAACTTTGACCGTGGATGCTTTGTCTCGAAGGCCGTATCCATGTGTATCTTGGGCAAGAGCTACATTGCATGTGGAGTATGTAAGGTTTTAGATGAGTTTGAACTAGAGAATCAAATTGGACGTGAGCCTTCTTTTCCAAAGGTGTTCTAGTCCTAAAATATGGCATCGGGAATTGTATTCAGTGAGTGAATCATTTTTAAGTATTTTGCGAGTAAAATCTCGTTGTATTCCTTCCACCTTAAGTATATCGGATAGGAGTAGGTTGGAAAATAAGAATGAACAATATTTAACGATTCGTTTCAACACATTAGAGCTCCAACTGAATATGGCTTAAGAGAGCTCATATGTCTTGTACTTATTCTTCACACACGGTTATGATGTCAGTCTAATAACGTTCCTCACAACTATATGGGGTTTTGATCAAAGGATCGTTTTATTCAAGTTCATGGCTGATTTAGTCTGTCAGCAAGTTGCACAGGCGATTTATAACATATTGAAGGCGGACATGAAGGCGATCAACTCTGCAAAACTGACTGAGGAGAATTGATAGAAGAGGCATGAATTAATTTCCGGCAGTATTACAACCAAGTAACTCAATCATTTGTACCGTACACAGTCTCAAAGAGGAAAAAGAAAAGCCACCCCTGGATAAACCAGAATATTCGACGTCTACTAAGACAGGAAAAATCGAAACGTCGCCATCTGTCTTGGAGTGTCAGATACGACGGAATGAAAAAGGTCCGCCCGAAATAAGTAAATAAGTGCAAGCCCAGTAAAAACATAAAAAAACAGTTAACTCAATCGGTAATTAAGCAGCCAAAGAGACTATTCTTGTTCAGAAGTTACAGTGCAAGAACTTGTCTTTGTATTCCCAAACTAAATGCGAAAAGGACTGGATCTCAAATGATGGAGAAAGACTAGGACAAGGAAGGGGCCATCGTAAACCATTTCCAGCTTTTACTCGGGAGCCTATTCTAGACGAAGGACTAGACCAACGTAAAAGTCACATAATCAACTGCTCCCTGGAAGGTTTGATACAGACTATGTAATAAGGGCCCTTAGCACTTGACACACAGAAGAATCAACAGGACCATTGACTGCGATATTCAATATGTCACTTGGCCAATGTGAGTTACCGATAGAGTGAGAGGATGCAACTGTCACTAAAATTAATAAAACAGGATACAGACAATTTCCATCAAACTACAGATTTGTCGGCCACATCAGTGTTGTAGTTGAAATACCGGAAAGAATAATCAAAAAGACTATAGTGACTTGTGGAAACCAAGAACTTGACAAACATCGAACAACACGGTTCCATGAGTATCTTGCTCAACAAACCTTATAACAAGAGAGCAGTGGACAAAGTCCCAAGATAATGCAAATCAGTGGATTTTGTCTACGTAGACTTCAGCAAAGCTGAAAAGTATACTTTTCGTACCGGCAAATAACCCTCGTTCTGTTGATAGGAGAAACCAGACTTGTAAAGACTAGGTCTTTATTTCCTCGTGGGACAAGAACACTATGGAGCGGGGGTTACCTGTTTAAACACACAAAGCCTTCCAACATCTAATTTAAGATAATAGGAAATACAATGCCTATACAAAATAAGGAAGTGGATGAACACCTGATCTCTATTGTTTTGACATATACTATTTTGTTTGAGATCAACTCTTAACTAGTCAACCTAAGTTATTACATATTAATCTCGAGGCTGTGAAACCTAGTCAATGCCGGACCTCTCCGAAAATAAATTGAAGATTTCTTGGTAGGTCGTAGACAGAAAGGGAGAATGAATTACTCCTCCTTCTGGAAACCAGTACTTGATGGGGTACCATATGACTTTGTCGTAGATCCCTTATTCTTAATACTGAATGTAAATGAACCTCCAAGTATAATTGCGTCTCCAGCGCTTCTATACTCTGATGGTGTAAAAATCTGGAGACATATAATAGGAGACGCGGATTCACGTGCACTTCAGGCGAACCTAGGTATTCAAAATAGCTGGTCTAATAATGACTAATGACCATCATTGAGGCCAAATGTGTCTAGATGCACATTGAGGATACAAAGGTAAGTAGGTACGGCATAAGGAAAGAATCTGTTGCCGCAACTCGGTCTTACAGGGTTCCTGGGGTAACAGTGAGCCACGATCTTGCGACCACGACCTAATGCCGCAAGGTCACAGCTAAAATATTTAGAACCCCATAGGCTTAAGACGGACATTTACCAAGTTTGATACCAATATATTCATTACAGTGTACACAACCTTAGTAGGATCCAAACTTCGAAACTGTGTTCAGGCCGCAGGTCTGTGTTCAAAAGCTAACTCGGGTATCTTGAAAAATATACTCGTACAGTTCCAGAACCCCAACGTTTACCATACAAAGAACAGATTGAGAGGTTAGTCCTCTTTACTCTGCCCTGCCGCAGACTATAATGAGATCTGATTTTGGTGTGTGGAATACTAAAAAAGGATTTAGGACTTGATACATCATGTCTTTTCTTCCTATTACGTCAGGACAACTCATTACAACAGCCAAGAATGAACAAAATACCTGCGGAAAACAGGTTTTCACACAAAGTCGTCGATTATTGGAATCTGTTAGCTGAAGAATTGGTGTCAACCCCTTCAATCGACTCATTGAAGAAAAAATAGTCACTCTCAGAAGCTTACTTGAAAGGCACTGACGCAGGCCATGAGCCTTTTGTTCGTAATATACAAATCCGAATTTGAAATATGCATCTTGGAAGACAAGGTTTCAACAAAAATAAATTCAGAAAGACCCTTAGCTTATTCTCTGAAAAATACTCGTTATAAGTTGTTAAGTGTTTTCATAGGCCAAAACCGCTTATCAGGGGACACCTCAAACGGTTTGCTTTTGTTTATTCCATCCAACTTAGGTAATTTGGAGTGTAGTCATTTTTGAATGTCGGCCATCTTCATCGGAATAATTTCTATTTTGCGCATTAATGCGTCATTTGCGCGGTTCTGCAAGTTATTCTCGTGAGCATAGAGGTAATTATTATATGTTACATGTTATATTAGTTACTCTTGTGTAACTTATGGTATTCAACTTATGGTATTCTAATTTACCCATCTATTTCCACGACTTTCAGTGTCTACTCGCTCATACTGCTTCCCTCAGCCCAGGGGTCTTGCTTCAAGACACTTCGGAAATTGGTATCCACATATTGCAGCCACTCGACCACCGGGAGTGAGGCATGATGTTCGACTACTCACTTCATTCGCCAACGCTCCTGGCTTAATTGGAAGTCAGATACCACTACTGACGCACCTGGCTATTCGGCCACAACACATAAATCGTATTAGAGCAAAAAGAGACCACTCTTTCACTCGCTCACGTTTTCTAAACCGCAGAAAAAGAAGTGTTCGAGCATCGAAAAACACTTTAAACCCCAGTGATCCCTTAAATTTGCAAGACTTAATGAAAGAGACGGAACGTCGTCGAGTGGAAGGTTTGTCACCGCTTCGTGGCGACTCGCGTATGAATACACCAGCTGCTAGTGTTGCCGGTGATGTTGATTGTGGTAGTCCTCAGAATCATGGTATTCAGACTTCAAGCGCGTCAAAAGACTCAGGATCGCCTCGTCTCAACAGTCGAAAGTTGGATTGTCATTCGAAACGACAGTCTCATCGCCTTATACGTAGACGTCCAATGCGGGCCTCTAAGTGTTACACCGTTGGTCGCTGTACCAGGGGTTTTATTCCCACAACAGGAAATTATTGCGATTACTACAGACGTCGCGATCCAAATGATAGACTTCCTTATTTAATGCCTGAGTGGTTCGTAGGCAAAGATGTAGCAGACTACGGATGTCATAACGGGACACTTACGTTTGGTGTGCTTGAAAAGTTCCCAGAAGTCAAGAAAATAGATGCATTTGACTGTGATGCCGAATTAATTGCAAACGCCCAAAGTATGCAAAGAGAGAGATTGCGATGGGATACAGAATCTAATATCAGGTATGAGAAGATTAACTTCCAAGTTGCTAATTGGATTGATGAGTCAACTACGAATGATGAACCTGAGTATGATACAATCATGGCCTTCAGTGTTACTAAATGGATTCATCTTAATCATGGTGATCCTGGTCTTATGAGGTTCTTTAGACGTGCCTTCAACCGCCTTAAACCAGGTGGACACCTAATTCTGGAGCCACAACCCAAATCGTCATATAAGAGGACACGACTGACGGTAAGCGTTCACTTTGTAAAGTTTATTTAGCAGGCTAAACACAGATCCATTTATGAAACTTTGAAAATCAATCCATCGAATCTTGAACCTTTACTAGTAGATCTTGGGTTTTCTTATTTCGATACTATCAAAGATCCTAGACCTAATGAACCATTCCGGCGCAAAATAATCTTATGTTCGAAGTCCTATGGAGCAACTCCGGCATCCATTCGCAATGATTTTCGTTCAGAAGTACATAATTGGCAAAGTTTTAACTCACCCCACAGTCCACATGGTCGGGAACCTCCACCAGTGTGTTATCTCCCACAGACACCAGTTTATAATGTAGGCACTCCATTCACTACAGGGAGTTCTCCGACAAGCAGACATGTGTGTGCCTCTAGCACTGTTTTAAGCCCGACAGTCTTATCCAGTGTTTCTCCACTTATCCCCGTTGTGGATTCTGTGCCAACTCCTACCTGTGAACCAGATTCAACATCTAATTGTTGACTAAATATTTTTGTACATAGTTCATATTTCTTGACTTATATTTCAAGTTAAAATCCTTGTACAGTTTCATGTAATATAGTAAAATGTTTATTATTTACATCCCTATCAATAAGATTTCGTAAAGTTAATGACTAGTGTTTTATTTGTTCTCAAGAGTATATGGAAGTGTATTGGATTTTATTTATGTATGCGATCCAGTCGCTGTATTGTGTTGTTTCACCAATAGGTGCAGCTTAGTAGACGTGTACGCACTGGTATGTTCGATCGTAAATCAAGTTATACTACTAATATTTCATGTTCCAGATACTAAATGCCATGGTTATTACGTTGGTTTCATTAATACTTTTGTGGTTATATTAGTTTGCAAGTGCTTCTAGACACTAATTGACGTTAGTCCGAATGCCGTTGAAAACCAGGAAATACTGGAGAGCTACTTCATTTCTGTATGGTTTTTCATTAACAATCTTGTCGGGGGTTGAATACAAATATTAATTTTCGTGATGAGCTCAGAACTCTTAAAACATTGAGTTAAGATACTTTAGTTTATACTTATAACGTCAAACGATTTTGATCAGTGTAACAATCGTTCAACGCCACTAGCAGGTGATTACTTCACAACTTCTCACTAAAACTTCGGAAATCCATCTGAGAACCAGTCACTAGGGAGCACAGACTTGTAGTCGGTTCCAGAAGTTTATGGAAATTTCTCCCAACCAAGGTGCTAGTAAGATCGGAATATAACACTTGTGACTGACAACTTGATATCTTGTCCTTTAAAGCTGCAGCTATTTATAGTCCGGTTTGATGAGTCCTCCACGATAGTTACCGTTAAATGCTCCGTATTTTGAACAAACGGGGTCCTACAATGTTAATATGCTAGACAATTAACGAGCTTTTTCATTGGAATCGATCACTAATCGTCTCAGTATAAGAGGGGATAGACATCCTCGTTTGATAACCATATATAAGTTAGTTTAGTCCATATCTAACCTAGGATCTTAGTCCCCGTAATCATCCAATGCTAAGCTGCAGCTCGGCGACAAAATGTCCGGGAGAATCAAGTCATTTTAAGATTTACTCGTGGTTGTATTGATCAAAACTTTACCGTTTGGCAGATTTCGGAACCAACATAAGTAAACCCTATTTTAATCATATTTATTGACGTAAAGACAACCTTGAGAAGATGTACGCTTATAGCAATAATCGTGAACTGTAATCATAATTAGTGACCTCAAATAGTATTCATTAGGCCTGCCCGCTACCCATTTTTATTTAGTTTCTACCATTGATTTCCTAGGAATTACTGACTTTAGAGGGATAATTCACCTTCCTGTAAACTTATTTAGTATTTTAGATGACGTAAACATGTTTAGTGGGAACATTAACAGAAGATAGTGTTCTAAATGTCTTAGGTAACAATGCAAGTATGTTTGGTATACTTCTCTCACCTTCCAGGTTTAGGACTTTGCTGTAGGATTGATCTGTATAGGCACCTGGTTTATATATAAAGAGTTATGTATTTGAACGGACATTCTTTTTGATAAATTCTCTTCAGATTCTACAGTTATATATATAAATTGATAATCCGAAAAGTGGCCAGGTTAATATATCGACAAACAGATGGTGTTGCAATGGGTTCGCTATTGGGCCCTATACTAGCCGACATTTTCCTAGCCAGACTAGAAAATGGTCCACTCAAAAACATTCAAAAATTCACATTTTACTGTCGATATATGATTGGTACGTTCATCCTCTGTAAAGATAATACATCACAGCAAGACCTTCTTAGGTAGTCTAATGAAGTACATCCAGTCATTGAGTTTACATCTGGAGAGAGTGATGGTAGAATAGCCTTTTTGGACGTCCTCTTAACTGAGAGAGCTGATTTATCATTAAAAATCTACTTGGACACATAAATATTGGTACAAAGGGGCACCGAACATATGTGCGTCACACCAATCACTTGATTTGTGTGTGGGCTGTGGCACCGCTTCGGTGCCCAGATCGAAGCAGGTGGTTTTCTTATGTGGCCTCTCCCGGAGCCTTCGACCTAAAGGTTTAAACCACAAGGCAGTGGAGATGCAGTCCCATGGTAGCCGGTGACGAATAATTGGTTCTCACGATCCTGGAGCTCATGAACGCCATTGGTTTGAAATCAGGGTTTTCAACTTCCTTAGATGGATCCCCCATATCCATCAACCTGGTTAAAGCACTGGATATTCACTTTTTGTCCTCTTAATTTCGTAAACAACAGTAATACGGCGAGAAGTCAGTGAGTAGGACTTTCCTCGCAGTGTCTGTATACACGTGTCTATGTGAGTTTCTCGAGAAGAAGAGCTAACTCTCTGCCGTTCCATGGCATGAGGGGGAATTTAAACAAAGGAAAAGCCTGGACATCAATACACACATTTCCTTAGCTTTGTACCTCTACAGTACGAAATAAACATGATCAAAACTGTGTTACCGAATACGCACTATATGTTCTACGGATATAGTTAAAGAAGAGCTAAGCACTTTGCGTAATACTCTTTGTGAAAACAGATACTCTAGAAAGTTTATAATTAAATATATGATCACGAAGATGAGGATAGGCCAAATACAAACGGTGAATAAGGAATTCCTGTTCATGCACTTACAATTCAGTTGAGATGCGGCTAGCGAAATATTAACTCAGAGATTACGCAGACTAATTCAAAAAATCTTTCAACGGCGAACTACGTTTAGTGTTTTGTACATGCTCAGTCGTGACACCGAGGCTAGAAGATGAATGACCTGGAATAATCACCTCATTTTGTATTTATCAATTCGACTGTCCTTGTGAAGTACGTTATATTGGTCGAAGTTCTAGGGATCTACATTTTTGTGCTCGCGAACACCTCCCAGCGTGGTTAATCAAAGGTCCGGTGAAGAAAGTGAACAGCTCGATACTGGCCCATTTTGTGCAAACTGGTCATAGTGACAGTATAACCCAATCCTTTTCAATTATTTATTGGGTCAGTAGTTTTATGCCAAAGCTTGTCAAACTTTAAGTCCTTTAAATGACTAAAGCAGTAACCATCCGGATTAAGAAACCTGAACTATGTGTACAACAGAAAAATCCCCAATCATTTCTCTTACCTTGATCAACCTCAGGACCAATTCATCAATAATAACCTTAGCTGTTGAATGACTTAATTTGACTATTGTACTTAAGACCTTTCATAGTTAAATGTAATTGTCTCTGTTATCTTTATTCATAAACCTTTGTATTATTAGTATTTTTATTGTTATTGTTGGTTAAACATTGTTATTAATCTCCCCAATGCATGATTTATTTACTTTTCATTCATCATAACTTATTATGTCTTTCTAGTAATTTTTACATAATATAGTCTTCCATTAAACATTTGATGGAATTGTAATTTCATTATTATATCTCTCACCCTATTTGACCCAATGTTTATTGTGATCATGGATCTTAAATTTTCATTTAATATATAAGTTGATTCAAGTTAACATTCTATATGAGTCATATCAACATGAAAAATTTTATTCTATTTTGTTTGGTAATCCTATAGTTCACATGCTTTAGCTTTAAACGATGTACTTTACCCTGTTTAGCAACTGTTATAGTTTCGTCATAGAATTAGAAAGTTCACTCTCCTCGAATTGTGTCACTTGTCATATAAACAAGATGTTCCGTAACCAATCAAGAGACAAGTATCCTGTTCAGTAATCCACTACATTGTGTTAAGGCTATAAGATTATAGCCTATAAAAGTGGACTCTTAGGCTTCATGGTTTTAGTCTTGGATGTCTTTGAAACATTGCTCATGTATGGTGACACGATCAAATGAGAGATACTGAGTTTAAACCTAAGGTCGTATATAAAAGTAGTGAATCATTTAGTGAGGTTGTGAATCTTCAGTGATTATTACATATGACTAACTTTATCATCAAAAAAATTGCAAGTTATCTCACTTCGTATATGTATGAAGGGATGTATATATCAAGTAATTCCTACCTATCTATTTGTACATATAAATCTAACAACCAATATTTTTCTGCAAAATAATTATTTCTAAAACATGTAGATGGTGTTTCACCTTTCTGATATGACTAGTAAACGGTGCTTAATGAACTATTGCTCATAAGTTATGATATTTAACAGATGACTGATGTCAAGTTGAAACTTATTTTATCTATAGATGTTTGATTGACTGTGTGCTAACATTGCCCATTATTTACTTCTGATTCGTTGTCGCTTATGAATAACGTAAAAACAGTTGAAGTGGCTTACACAACACAACGAAAGTGATTTACAGTGACAAGCAGAAATTGTTGGAAACAGTGATACAAATTAAGATAATAACCAACTAAATATGACTCAAGAAACAATTGGGGTCCAGAAAATGAGCTATTACTCAGTATGATATACTACACAGAATCACGCATGGTTGACAATTTACTACCTAGTGCCATATGAGAGCTAAAAATCCTTTCCAAAATGCATAATATGCCAGTACATTCCGTCAAGGGTAGTGTTCGTTACGCATCCACTCCTAAGTTGGATCTCAAATGCTCTTATGTGTAACTCGTTACGAAACTTACTGCATTGAAGAAACAAACTTTCCCACCTGGAACTACCGGACATGAAATCAATAACAAAAATGGAGTGCAGACTTAGTCTTGGGAAGGCACAGTGCACTTTCATAGTCTAGATCTCTTCGATAAAGCAACATTTAAACTGGACGATAGATTCTTATACACAACAAATCTGGGGAAAAAATGTAAAAACTTATTGTTTCCTAATGAGCATTTACTTAGTTACTAACTAGAAAAACAAATAGTTTCAAGAATACAAAAAGCTGTCACTAGCTAAGACACAATGTCTTTCGTTCTATAAACCTATTACAACCAATAGAAGTTTTGATTACTAATAAAAAATTAAAAACGACGAGTTCAACTTACAAGCTAGAGCAAGACAGCAACCAGTGGGAGTTTATCACACCAGAAATTGGAACAACTGTATTATGTAAGGTGCTATGATGCTTGTTGTAGTCCGACTCGTCCACCAATGTACGCTTATACTCTTAACCAACTGTGTATGCAAAGAAAGGAAATATAGATGGAGTGGAAGTTTTTATTGC